GCATGCATGCATGCATGCATGTATGTATGTATGTATGTATGTATGTATGTATGTATGTATGTATGTATGTATGTATATACATATATATATATATATATATTAAGAGAGAGAGAGAGAGAGAGAGAAAAATATCTCTCTCTACATCTATGTAAATAGTCCGTGCATCACACGAGCGCTCGTGACGCGAGAGCGGCCTCGTGAATTGGTTGGGGGGGCGTGTTCGTGTACGCGGCCGGTGGCATGCGTCTTTTTTTCTGGCACCCTGCATCCTCGAACCCGCGGACCTCGATCCTCGAAACGTCCGAGCCGATCCTCGAAGCGTCGACGGCGGCGTCGACGCCGACCTCGCCGCAGGCCCGCCTGGAGCAGGGCGCCGTCGTGAGTGCCGCGACGGGGCCCAGCGCGGCGGCCAGGGAAGGCCGTGCCCGCCGCCCCCGCCCGCCCGCGGCACCCCGCCGGGTCCGGGGGCCTCGGCTCGGCCGCGCGCGCGGGAGGGGGCCTCCGCCAGAGGGCGGGGGCGGCGTCCGAGGCGGGAAGTCGTTCGCGGCCACCGCCTGGGGGGTCGAGCTTCGCAGGCCTCCACGGGCGGTGGATCAGGACAGAGTCGGGCCCTCGGGGGTCCAAACATATCCATATCCACCGCCCGCCGGGGCACCAGGACGTCGGTTCCCAGGCGGTGGATATGGATACATCCACGCCTCGCACGGATCTTTCGATCAGTAGCCCAGGGTAAGGATGCCAGTGGAACACCAGGTAAGGCGTGGCCATGGATGTCGCCGCCACCCTCATGAGACGAGGAATCCTCCAGGGTCTTCAAGCAGCTCCCATTTCCAAGCTGAATCATGGATTCGTAGGCCTTAGGAGCCCCCTGGACACGTTCCTTCACGAACGCCCCCACCGTAAGAGCAGCGCTTGCTGGAGCTGGCTGGGGGGGCAAAGGTGGTCTAGCATTCATTGTTTCTGGCCAGCAGAAGACAGCAGAGGGGGGGGGAGAAAGGGGCCCCCCTCGTCGCCACGGCTGGCGGCGACTCGTAAAACCAGCTGCTCTCGACCCCGGGAAGGGTCCAGGGATCGATTTTGAGTGGATTTGGCCATGTGCCCCCTTCTGCACCGATTTTTCTTGGGGCCCCTTCGGCGCAGACCTCCCGGGCCGCTTCCGGAGCGCAGGTGCAGGCTTCTGCAGGGCGCATGTTTTGGCGTATGCTCTGGGGGTCTGATTTTTTGGGGTGTATTTTGTTGGTGCTCGAGTGCTTACGAAGTCGATGCTTGCTTTGTGCTTCCTGCAGGCTCTTGCAGCTCTTCTGGCCTCCTCGCCCCGCGGTCGACTTCGGTCGCCGGTGTTTCGGCCACGCTCGCAGGGCATCCCGTTGAGCAGGCTTGCTGCACGACCTCGGCGACACGTCTGCATCGACTCGGTGCGTCGCCTCTGTCCGTGGTGCCCGGTAGCCCCCTCGAGGGGCAGCGTCGTCTCCCTCCTGCTCTGCCCTGCCGCCGAAGAGCACCCTGTGCTGCTCTGTTCGTTGTGGTAAGGGCGCTGTTCGGCCACGGTCCTGGCCCTTCGAGCCTCCGCTGGAAGTGGCTGCACGCACGAGCGGCACGTTGCCTTCTGTCGGGCGTGTCCCCGGTGCAGCGGGATTTTCGACGAAAAATAATAAAAAAATACCCCCAAAATGCCACCCGAAGGCAGAACAATGCTCAAAACATAATCCCCAGGCTATTGTTTGATTACTTTTTGATTATGGTGAGGGTATTTCTTATTGAATCGGTTCGCTCATTCCGCCGGCCCATAATGTCGCACCGTGGTCGCCTGTCCGAGTGGTCGTTTGCAGTGTGGAGCTGCGGCGTCGGGAACTGTGTAGTGTTGGGGGCGTTCTTGGGGCACTCTTGGGCCGACCTGGAGGCCTCTGGGGCCGTCTTGGAGCCGTCTTGGGCCGTCTTGGGGCCCTCTTGGGGGCCTCTTGGGGCCTCTTGGGGCGATCTTGGAGGCCTCTTGAGCCGTTTAGGGGCGTCGGGGAACCGAAAAGGTTAAAACGCCCAAATCTGTCCAGCACCAAAGGAAAAACACAGGTTTTTGCCTCTTGGGGCCCTCTTGGGAGTTCTCTTGGGGGCCTCTTGGGGCATCTTGGAGGCTTCTTGGGCCATCTTGGAGACGTCTTGGGCCGTCCGGAGGCCATCTTGGGCGTCGTGGAGCGATCTTCGGGCGTCTCGGACCTCTCTTGGACCGTGTTGGGGGCGTTCTTGGGGCCCTCTTGGGCCGTCTTGGAGGCCTCTGGGGCCGTCTTGGAGCCGTCTTGGGCAGTCTTGGGGCCCTTTTGAGGGCCTCTTAGGCCCTCTGGGGCGATCTTGGAGGCCTCTTGAGCCGTTTAAGGGCGTCGGGGAACCGAAAAGGTTAAAACGCCCAAATCTTTCCAAAACCTAAGAAAAAGCATTGATGTTTGCCTCTTGGGGCCCTCTTGGGAGTGCTCCTGGAGGTCTCTTGGGGCATCTTGGAGGCTTGTTGGGTCATCTTGGAGACGTCTTGGGCCGTCTGGAGGCCATCTTGGGCGCCGTGGAGCGATCTTCGGGCGTCTCGGACCTCTCTTGGATTGTGTTGGGGGCCTCTTGGGGCCCTCTTGGGGCGATCCTGGAGGATCTGGGGGAGTGTCCCGGGCGTGTCTCGGGCGTGTCCCGGGCGTGTCCCGGGCTCCTCCCGGGGTACTTTTGATCCAGGGACCCCCAGGGGCCGCCCCGCGCGCGCGAACTAGAAATACTGTTTACCAGCTACGGGAGATCTTAGCACGCCTCTGGCCCGTTGGGCCGGCGAATTTTTCGTCGAACATCCCCCTGTACGGTAGGTTTGCGTCGTGTCGACCAGCGGCGACCCCAGCGCGGGCGTTCAAGGTTGAACGCCGCCGGCGACCCAGAATCGATCGATGTTGAACGATCGGACGTTGCGGAGACGGCCGATCGTTCAAGGTTGAACGATCCAGCGCGGTGTCTGGAACCAACGCCAGGGTCGACACGGCACGGACCTGCAGTAGGGGGACAGGCCCGACTTGAACGCTGCCGGAGCGGCCTCTGGTGCGCGGCCGTCCGGCGGGCGGGGTGGCCAGACCCGGGCACGCTGGCCGCTGCTGCCGGACACATGTCGCACTTCCAACGGTCGGCAGGCCGACCACCAGAGGCTGGGCGCCCGAAATGGGTACGGAAAGAATGGGTACAATCCCAGAGATCCAACGTATTGAAAAAATCAAGCCGGAGGATTTTCTCAATTTTCGGCCTCTATAGGGGCCCTCGCTGGGCCCCGGGACCGTCAAAAAACGACTCAGGATGAAAAACCGGTCCTGGGGAATGGGTCGAGACTTCGGGGGACCGCGTATTGAAAAATCACGACAACGACATCGGATCTCTGGGATGCCCAATTGCAGTTCCTGTTCATTTTGAACAGGGCTCGCTGTCCGCGCCGCCGCGGCCTGTGTCCATTCGAGACAGGAGGCCGCCTGCCCAACAGCGGCCGCTGTTGGTTTGGGACAGCATTTGTTGTTGGGCATTGTACCCGTTCTCTCCGTGCCCATTTCGGGCGTCCAAATCAACGATCGGCAGGCCGACCACCAGAGGTCCCTCTCGCACAGAGACACCTCCTGCGCCTGGCCGAGGGTCGACCACGCGGAGAAGGGGGGGGATAGGTGGGGGGGAAGGGCTTCGTGGAAGCACTGGAGGGCGCGGGCCTTGTCTGCAGATGAAGGGCCAGCGCCTTCTCAGAGGCAGCCTCCTTCAAAGAAGTCGTCCCCCCTCCCCCTACCCGCCTGTGCGCGCCACCAAGACGGATTGTGCTGACAGCTCTCGCCTGCATCATTCTTTGCCCAGCCCGCGGGCTCCCCCAGTGACGACGTAGATGAGGGCCAGCGCCTTCTCAGAGGCAGCCTCCTTCAAAGAAGTCGTCCCCCCTCCCCCGATACCCTCTTGTGCGCGCCACCAGGATGGGTTGTGCTGACAGCTCTCGCCTGCATCATTCTTTGCCCAGCCCGCGGGCTCCCCCAGTCTCCTCCTCCTCCTCCTCCTCCTCCTCCTCCTCCTCCTCCTCGGCCAGATGGCATTTCCTGTGGAGGCTCCCGACGCAAGGCCCCAGACGCTAGTCCCTACTCCAGAATTCGTGATAAAAGGGAGGGGGGTCTGGACCCTCCAAGGCAAGCCATTTCAGACCTCCCCCGTGGGAGATAACCCTCCAAAACGTCGTCCCCAGACCCCCCCAGGCCCTCCAAGATGGCCTGGAAGAGACCCCCCTCCCCGAAAGGAGACCCCCCTCCTTTTACTACGACATCTGGAGAAGCTGTTGCCGCAGAGCCGGCCTCCACTGTCAATACGTTGAAGTAGGGACCGCCTTGGGCCCGGGAGGGGCTGCGATCTCCTGGCCGTTCCTGAGGTCGAGGTCGGGGAGCGTGTTCGTGGCTGAGGCTTGCCGTGGCGAGAAGAGGACCCTTCGTTCCTCACTCGGCGTTCACTACGGCAGCACGACGACTGAGGAGGAGGAGGAGCAGGAGGCGGAGGAGGTGGAGGAGGGCGAGGAGGAGGAGGCGGAGGAGGCGGGAGGAGGAGGAGGAGGAGGAGGCGGAGGAGGAGGATGAGGAGGAGGAGGTTCAGCGTCCTGGGGCACGGAGGGTCTGAGGCCCAGAGCCCGCGCGTAGGGAACGGAGGCCAGTTGTGCCGCCGTGCCCCCAGACATGCTCGCGTCGTGCAGAAAAATCAGGACGGAAAGTTTTCGGCCGTTTTCGGCCTCGGGGAGCCCTCGCCGGGCCTCGGGACCGTCAAGAAACGGCTTGGGATGAAATACTGGTCCTGGGGAAAAGGTCGGGACTTCAGGGACCCCGTATTGAACAAGTCAGGACGTCGCATGTCTGGGCTGATCCTCCGCCGCGCTGTGGTGGTGGGTGGTGGGGGCGGAGAGGCGCGGGAGGCAGAAAACGGAGCTGCAGGGGGAGGGCCCAGAAGGGGTTTGACCAGTAACATCGACGTCCTTGGCACCGCCCTCCGGTGGGAGGGCTTGAGCAAAAACGTCGGTATTCTCGGAGCAGGCAGGTGGCCGCCTGTCGGGCGCCGATGCCTAGGGCACCGACAGCGCGTGCCGCTCGAGGCCCGCCGCAGGGGCGCGCAACCCTGAGACTTCTGACGTTGCGGAACAAGTGCGACATCGCGACAAGCCACGACTGGAACCCTATAGACCCCATCTTCCTGCGTCATTCTTCGGCCCGGATCGACCTGTGATCTGTGATGGCCCTGGGGCCCGTGAGTAGGCGAAAATGCCCGGTGCGAAAAAAGTGCAACGACAGGGCCTGGCGCTGGCGCCCCGCGCCCTCCGCCGAGCCTGGGCCGGCCATGCCGGCCATGCCGGCGCCGCGCGAGCGCCGCCTCGATCCGGGGCCGAGGGCGAGCGAGCCCCCGCCGTCGGCGGCGATCGCGGCGCTCGGCGACGCCGCGTGGACGGTGACGTCCTTGATGTCCCCGCGGAGCGCCAAGGCACTGGAGCTGGTCTCCCCCACGGTGCACGCGCTGCTGCTGCCGGCCTGCCAGCGCGTGGCGTGCGCGGCCGAGCTGGCGCGCCAGCTCCGCGCGCTGCCCTGCAGCTTCGGCTTCCCCCTGAGGCACCTGGGGCCCGAGGCCCCGAGAGGAAAAAGGCACCGATACCGCTGCCCGCTGCCCATGCCTCGTTTCCGCCCTCTTGGGTCTCCTGTGGGAGGCCCTCGCCGCCACTGCCGAGTTCGCCCCGAAGCCCGTGTCAGAACGCAGCCGCTGGGAGAGGGCCGGGAAGCAGCGGCGTCGGAGCCCGTTTTTTGTAGACTCCTGCAAGTTTACTTGCATGGACGGGGGGTTGGGGCTTGAACCTGAAGTAGGCCGCAAACGACTTGCACGTACGGCAACCACACGAGTCGAAGGGCACTTGCACGCCAGTATTCGTCTGAAGAGGGGCGAGGCGGTGGGGGGGGAGGGGCCGAACGCCATGCAAGTAAGCTTGCCCGAATCTGCAAAAACAGGCTCTCGGTCCCCTTCTTAGCTTCCCCCCCCCAGAGGTCCTCCGGGAGGCACTGGCCGCGTTGAGGCCGCTGCGGCCGCTGCGGCGTCGGGAGCTGGTGGGCCACGACGCGGGCTGGGCGCCCACCGAGCAGGAGCCCTGGCACTTCCGCTCCCCCGCCGAGCTGCAGGCCTTCGCCGCCTGCGCGCGCGCGGCCGCGGCGGGGGCGCGCAGGGGCCAGGAGCCGGTGCTGCTGCTGGGGGCGGTGCTGCGCCGAGGCGCGGCGGCGGCGGAAGCGGAGGAGGGCCTGGAGCGCCTGGCCGTGCTGCCGCAGGGGCTGGAGTGGGCGGAGGGCCCGGGGGCGGATCCCCTGCAGCTGGGGCTGCGGCTGTCGCTGGGGCCCGGGGACCACGCCGAGGCCCGATGAGGAAGAAGAGCTTTTTCGGAGGCCCGCGCCGATCTCTCGGATTTTGCGCTGGACGCCCCCGGCGGCGCCTCCTGCGCCGCTCCTGGCGCGCTCTGGCCGCCAGGGAGGGGGCCCAGCGCCGTTCCGAGACAGGCGTGCGTGAACCTCGGACAGCTTTGGCGCTTCAGTAGAAACGTTTTTTGGGGGGATTCCTCTATAGGTAGACCTCGAGCTGGGCTCGGGCGGCTGGTCGCCCTGGGCGGAGACCTGGTCGCTGCGGGACGGCACCCTGGGTGCCCGGATCTGCGTGGCCGCCGAGCTCCCCGGGGGCGGGCGCGCAGTCATCCGGCGCGCGGGCGGTTCGCTGGGAGCCCCAGACGCCTGCTGCTTCGACGAGGGCGTCGCTGCGCTCCAGGACGCGCTCCGCTGGGTCGACGGCATCCGTGCGGCCGTCTGCGTGAGCTCCCTGGCTTGGGGGAAGGATGCCCCCCCGTGGTGCCCCCCAGCAGTGCTGCGCGTGACCGCCGCCGCAGAGTCTGCCGCGGCAGCCCGGTGAGCCGCTGCCCTTCGGGCCCCCGGCGGTGCCCCCCAGCAGTGCTGCGCGTGCCTGCCGCCGCAGGGGCTGCCGCGGCAGCCGGGTGAGCCGCTGCCCTTCGGGCAGGAGCAGCGGCCGGGGCGTGCCGTCCGTGGGGCGGGCCGCCGTGTACAGATGCCCGGTTCGAGAGACAGGGCCTCGCCCGTCGGCAGACTCGCCATGGCTCGCCCATGGCCGCCGCGAGGCCCTGCACAAACAGCGCACCGGGGCCGCCACTGCTGCCGCCGCCCACGTCGCCTTCGGCGTCGCCCAGGGTTCCCTGGAGCGCCGCTCCCTCGCGCAGCCCGGGGCGGCCTGGGAGAGGCAGCGTCCTGGCTCGATCTTGCTCTCGTGCGCGCTCGGCTGCTCTTTCACGAGGCCTCTTGCTCGGGGTGTCGTCCTTTTCAGAGTCGCCCCTCGGAGAGGCGGGCCGGCTCCCCAGAAGGGGGGGGGGGTGCGGGGGCGTGCCAGCCCCAGGGGCGGCCTTCGGGCTGCTCGGGTCCTGCCCCGAGGGTCCGGACATGGTGGGGGGAGGCTGCTGCCCTCGGGGCAACGACAGGGGGGGATGGGCACAGGGATGCGGAGAACATCGACGGGAGGGAGGGAGGGAGTGAGGGAATGAGTAGTGTCGGCTTCGAACTTGGGAGGAGGGAGGGAAAGGAGGAGGAGAGAGGGAGGAAGTGGAGGAGGGGCGAGGGAGGAGAGGGAGGAGGGAGGGAGGGGGGGGGCGCATCGACCCTGAATCGCTCATTGATCGCCGATAGGGGCTTGACGGCCCCAGCCCGACCAGGAAGGTGCGGATTCGTCATCGGGGGCCCGGCGCCGATCTGTCGGGGACGTACCGCCGATTCCAGGCCGAGGAGTCCCCTGCATGTGCCAGTCCCCCCCTTATCGTTGCCCCTCGTGCCCTCCCTCGGGCGCTGTACTCGAGTCGGCCTGAGAGAGCTGCGCGTCTTTTTCTGGGGAAGTGGAGTGCGGCCCCCAGAAACGCGCAGGTCCCCCAGGCCGAAGGAGCCCCTGCCTGAAGAGGGTGAGCAGTGGGCGGCGGAGGAGGCCCAACAGCAGCCCCCTGAGGGCGCGGATCGGAGTGCGAGGCCTGGGCTGGATCTGGGCGGCGGCAGCGGAGCTGGCGCCCCGCTCAGAGCGCAGGGCGCTGGGTGCGTCGCGGGCGCCAGGTCTGTCCTATACGGGCTGCGAGTGCTTCTGGCCTGGTGTCCCAGGGCAGTCCTCGAAGCAGTCCCAGAGTTCCGCTCCTTCCCCGAGCCCCGCCTCCCCCCAGAGCCCGCGGCGCGGCCCCTCCGTGTACAACTCGGCCGGGCTCGTGGAGCCTGGGAGGCTTCGAGGCCCAGTGGTTCGCCAGCGCGTCTGTGATGGAGAAGTTAGGCGTGCGGTCCGGAGCGCTGCCTGGCTCGAGCTAGAGCTGCCGCTGCTGGAACGAGCGACGAGTTCCTGGGGGCCTCAGGGGCTCCGCCCCCCTTCAGGTCCCTGCCACTGGGCCTCGGTGAGGGCCAGCCGAGCCCCCGTGCCCACTCCCGACTCCTCCTCCTCCCTCCCCCTCCCTACGCCTCTCCCCTCTATCATCATCATCATCATCATCATCATCATCATCATCATCATCATCATCATCATCATCATCATCATCATCATCATCATCATCATCATCATCATCATCATCATCATCATCATCATCATCATCATCATATTCAGCATCATCAGCATGATCAGCATCATCATCATCATCATCAGCAGCATCAGCAGCATCATCAGTATAGGGCCGCTGCGAGCTCAGGCCTTGATGGCGCAGCGGCCTATGGGACGCGCCCGTGCATGTCCGAAGCTTCGGACAGGAGGCCCAGTGATGGCGGCGCTGCTCGGTCATGCCACAGTTGTGCTCCAGACGGGGCGCTAACCATGGCTGGCAGGCATGCGGAGTGACGAAGAAATATCTGCCGAAGGAACCGCACGCCGCCATCTACCCACAACCGCCGCTGAAGCCCTTGATGCGCTCTTGGAGGAGGCGCTTGAACATGGCCAGGGGTACTCTCCCAGCGAAGTCGATAAGATCTCGTGGACTGAAGATATCGAACCAGTGCGTCCTCGTCTCTCCACAGGCGCAGCGGCACCAGCTGCACCACCAGAAATTGCACCACCGCCAGCCGACGCTGCACGCGATCTACGGGACCAGCCACAGCCACCATCCCCCACAAAGATCGGCCCGATTGCTCAGACGTGTGCCGCCAAGCCCGTGTCCATCGTCGGCTGGAACCCCTTCACGCTCAAGGGCTTTCCTGGCAGGATCGACGACATTAGCGTCACCTTCCGCCGATGCTAGGCTGTCATGATCGTGGGCGCCAAGATCCGACAACCTACCCCAGACACACCGCACCATTCAGAGATGCCAGTTGCCCATCATTGGATACATCTTGGATGGGCACGCGGTGCGCACACTAATTCGTCAGCGGGCTGCAGCATCGGCCTCTCGAAGAAACAGTTCTGCAAGCAGGACGTATGCAAAATTATGCACCCTGGACCAGACTTACGCGGACGTGGGGAGCTGGTCGAGGTTCACCGCGGTGCGCTACGCATTCGGTACATCGTTGCCTCTTTCGCGCCTCGACCATCAGGTGGACCAGCCTAGATCTGTCCATGGAAGGACGGATGCATGAATTTATGGTCCTGGCTTATGACATCAGTTACTGAGTGTCCATCGCGAACCACCCCCATCGTCTTCACAGATATTAGCCATAGCTTGGGTGTGCAGGCTAAACAGATCACCGACGGCGCCGCCGTGGGACCATTTTCAAGCTGGCAGCGAGAGCGAGTTCGGCCGCCACGTACACAACCAGTTGCTGTATCACGACCTCTCGGCGCTCAACTCCCACGTGGACGTCGGCTACACATAGCACGGCCCCCAGAAGCCCCGATCTCGCATTGACTATTTCTTTATTGGACACCACAATTTGCATGATATCATTCGGAGCATTCGATTGGACTGGAGGGCACATCAGCGAGTGCGTGGATTGATGCATGTACCTGACCATATTCCGATGGTGGTTCGCATTCGTATGTCGACGAACAGCACGAACCCTCTGGACTCACGTGTTACCTGGGACTGAGGAGCTCTGGCTGCGGGGTTGTTGACTGGAGATACACGTGAGGGGTTTACGACAGAACTGGCATCGGACTTAGACAAGCATCAAGACGCAATTCGAGTGGCCAAGATGGATCAGTTTCCTACGAGGCACGCAGCGATACTCACGCACTTCACCCGCACGACGGCAGCTAAACACTATTCTCGAGAAGGTCTCAGACCACACTGGCATAAGCAAGCTCAAAGAGATCGCCTTCAGCTGCTGCGACAATGCGCGGAGGCGCTTGAACGTGGACACACATGTGACTCACGAGCGACACGCGATTTGCAAGCCCGGCTTCGAGACCATGAACAGTGGATGAACCTCTGGTGGCAAGTTTCTTTGGAAAGCGGCCTCCGGCAAGCATGGGCATCTCGTGACTTATCGAGGCTATCACATTTGACATATCTTCGTGCTGGCCGACGTGCGGGGCCTCGCCGACGATCATATTTATCCCTTCCCACCGCGCGACCGTCATCGAGCGAGTGCGAGCAGGCGTTGGCGGCACATGCAACCGATCGTGGAATGACTGCTACGAAGGCATATGCAGGTCTCTATATTGAAGACACAGCAGCAGCCCCGCGGATGTTGGCACGGATGGACACAGTGCAACCTGTGGGAGACTACATCGGCGCCCCGACCATCGAGGATCTCGAGGAAGCGAGTACCGAGCTACAGATAATGCAGAAGCGCTTCTGGCGCGAGACGAGACGCAGGTACAATCCGCCCTGGGCCTGGCTTATTGAGCTGACGACCATGACGCTGACGCTGAAGTTTCTCATTCGACCTGGGCCAGACCGCGCGGGCGTCGGAGCAGGAGGACATCGACGGATTCAGATTCAGCCCTTAGACACGAAGTTTCCTCGACCCGAACGGCCGCAGCTCCAGTTGGACGAACGTATGTGGCGCGCGGTGGTAGTGGAATTTGTGGCGCTCATTGGACACGCGCGACGCGCGACGGAGTTGCCCGCCCGAGCCTGCGCGAGCCACGCCCCGCAGGGCGCCCTGTAGAAGATGTCCATCAGCGTGTTCGGCCCCATCATTGTTTTGATCGTCTCTGGCGCCTCTATCTTCGAATCGGACTGATTAAATGCGGATCCTCGTTTGATACACCGTCGTGGGCCTACAGAGGCATATATTTGCCAGGCGGCGAGCATCTCTGATGCTGCTCGCGAAGCTGCCGACCTGGAAGTCGAGGGCAGCTAACGTTCTTTTTTTGGCCAAGAGCTATGATATACGCAATGCTTCGCCACGGGTCATCGCATCAGACTGTTTGCTGCGCGCGCGGTGCGACGTGGCGACGGACATTTTCACCCTTTCCTCGAGCAGCACCGTGCGCGCGCAGTTGTGTACATCCAGGCCTCCGATGCTACCCTCGCACTCCGGCTGGGCACAGGAGGGGGGATGGGGGGTTCAAACGAACCAGAGCTTTTCATGGGATCATTCTACCCATTAGTGGAGGAGTGGGAGCAGGAGATGGCCGAGGTGCAAGGGCAGCCTTTTCGAATGCGGCGCCACTTCGCCGACCAGGTTTTCCCCGGGCGCTTCGGCGCCTTTGCCCGCGACCTATCTAGGATTCTCTCGGTCCCCGACGGGGCCGCTTGCCAGGCCATGCTGCTAAATAAGATCGGCGACAATAGCTTATCTCGAGCTCTACGTCCAGAGGCGCACGCACAGCACGCTAGCAAGCAGGGCGCCCTCGTCAGTCTAGCTAGCTGAGCAGCCACTGAGGAAGCTGCGCGACGCATCTCGGGCAAAGGCTCCAGGAACTCATGCATTTGGGTGGATATGTACACGTGGCCCTACATTCGCAGCGTGAACTACACGATCGTATCGTATCGGGCAACACCGGGTGGACTCGGCTGGGCGATTATTGGTTCTAGAAGGGGCCCTGGGATAAAAAATGGTTATCCTTCCTGTCGAACGTCGCGGGCCGCGTCTGGTCGGGCCTCGATAGCTACGTCCCGCGCCCCCGCAAGGTACGCCGACTAGACTGACTGTGCGCTTGCAGAAAGTCTACGGGTCGTGCCAAATGGAGCTGCGCATCATGAGGACTCTGAGGGTCATCATCATTCTGTGTCAACGCTCCAGAT